AGTCTTGCATCGATGTGGTGACAGAGGTGAGGTGGGGACACCTCCAGGTCTTTGAGGCTTCTCTTCCCTACTATGAAAGGGGGACACTAGTTTATTCAGTCTCAGGAAACTTGGATAAATTTTTTCCCCCAGGCCTCACATGTACAGAGATCAGAGCCCTAAAGGAGCATAGGCATCACAGGAAGATGCCCAGAAGCAGGGGGTATTCTCACTTGTCCCTGACCAGGGACAAACCGCCCATGTGTATACTGCATCTGAGCCTCATTCTCCCTGGTACAGTGCTTAGTCTGTAGCTGCCTTGCTTTTTCTGCTGGCCCTACAGGTACCCACTGACTTGTGGGGAGAAGAACACATGGAGAACCAGACAGACAGAAGACCCCCCACTTTCCTGGCTGCCCAGCCTATGGTGGGTGGGTGGATCCTGTGGACAGAGGGCCATCTTCCTTCAAAGTGGCATTGCCACGCACACACAGCACACCCATCTCTCACGATCTCTCTTATCCTCCCGAGCCCTCTCCCCTCACTCGGGCAGGCAGGCCGTGGGGGGTCATACAACATTAACCAGAGGCTCTGTTTCACAGAGCTCATGGTATCCAGTTCCCACCCATTCCTGCCTGCTGCTATCCCAGCTTTTTCACCCCCTTCTTCCTCCCTACCACAAGACACATAGTGTGATGCACATTCAATGGGGACCTGTCCCAGTCACCTTTTCTGACAGCCAAGGTGTGCGTTGGGAAGAGAAGGATGAGGGCCATGCAAGCCTTGTGTGCCAGGCCAGGCTCAGAGAACCAGAGCCACTTGTTCCATGGGTGACACTGGGTATTCTGTCCCCAGTTCTATGATTTCTGTTCTGTGTGGGGAGGGTCATCAGGGTATCTCCTCCCTTTTTCCTTTCTCCTTTCCTTCCTTCTACAAACATTGCTTAAGCCCCGGTCACTGTATTGGGTGCTGGGGGTGCTGCAGGATATTCAGCTCCTGCCTTCAGGGCTCACAGACCTGCTGACACTGGTCCTCTGTCTTGCTGACTCCTTTAACAGCCCACTGACTCCTCACTGGGCACTGGGTTATCTGATCACCTAACTTTCACAGGAACAGGGTGAGTGCATGTTGCTTTCAAAGTCACACTTGCCAAGACACTAAGCCTCACCCCGTAATGGCCTAGAGTCTTCCAGGCACAGTGGCTTATCTAATTTAATCCTCATGGCATCCCTGTGAGGTGGGTACTGTCAATAGCGCCATTTCACAGATAAGTCAACTGAGGCCCAGGGAGGTTCAGTTTAAGTCTCTCCATGTCCCTCTCTGTACTGGAACTCTACGGTCCTAAGCTGGAAGAGTGTGGAAGGAGAGGGAACAGAAGATGAGAAAGGAAGAACATTAATCAGAAGGAAACAGAATTTAGTGTGGACAAGTAAAGGTGCTCAGAGGAGGCAGAGGCTGCCCTGGCCTCAGAGTGATACAGGTCTGTGCCACCAAAGTAATGCCTCCAGGTGGAAAATCCACTGCTGTGGGAGCTGAGCGCATGCCTTCTGGTGGCCACAGGTAGAGCCACGGATGGGCTTTGACTGCTTGTGGCTTCAGCCCCATTCGCCAGTCTCAGAGAATTTTTTGCCTAAATTCATCTGGATGTGAAGTGGAGGCTAATTTACGCAGGGCCCAAGCAGTTTCCTGTGGTGAGACTCAGAGGCTCCCAGCTCATGTCTGCAGTTAGGGGCAGGGGATGTTGGGAATGGCTGACCAGAGTCTCCAGTCTGGAGCCGGCACAGCCTGGACCAGGTGGCTTTTAAATTGGGGACTGGGGTGGGGGCTGAGCACTTCTTTAAGTCATAAAACTATCCAAAGGGCAGTCCAAGTGCTCAAGAAGAAGCAGTGTTCTGATGGTCCCACCCCACTTAGGACTGGCCTGACTGTGGACCCACAGGGGATGGTCCAAGGGGGACACACTTGGCTTGGGCAGTGGGGATACCGAGGCATGGTGTCCCAAGAAGCTGTGTACTCTAACTCACATGGGGATAGTGACCTCAACTCTCTTGACTGAGAATGGGGAAGCCCCTGCTTCTGGGAACAACTGTGCGGGGGATGGTTGGCCACGCCCACAGTGCTGCTCAATGGGCAGACGCTGGCCATGGGGCCTGAAGACTCGTACTGTACTCCTCTGAAGACCATGGTTGCTTCTTCCAGAACGGTGATGCTCACAATGCAAGCAACAAGAAGAGCTGATGTTATCAGACACTGAGAGGCCGGAAACTTGGCCTCATCTCCTTCACCACACACGATCCACTGTCCTGACAGGGAAGTGGAGGTGTTCAGTCTTGGGGTTGGATCCTAACATGCAGAGCTGTGTTCTCAGCTCCTTCCCTTCACCCTCACTACAGGCCCAGGAAACAGAGGCACAGAGAGGTTGACTAACATGCCTGGAGTCCCACAGCTGGAAAGTGGCAGAACTGGGATTTGAATCCAGGTTGTCCAAATTTGGGATCTATAAGCAGTCTGCTCTTCTGTCCCTCCCCAAATCTCTTCTATCACACCTCTTGCAGCACCCAGGGAGATCCTTCTAGCAACCAGTACAGCAGTTCAGTTCATCCTACAGTGAGCCTTCCTCTTTCTCAGAGCTCAGATGTTGTTTGATACCTATGAGAAATTAGCAAACCAAGAGGCTGAGCTGCCATTATTCTTACCATTTTACAGATAAGAAGAGTGAGTCCATTTTATACATGGTGTGCAGTCTAACTTCTTGCTGCACACCAGTATTCTGTGGAATTCTGTAAGAAATGCTGCTCTCAGCCATATTCTTTCCTTTCTATTTCCTCTGTAGCCAAGTCCAAGCACCTTCGCCAGGAAGCCTTCCCTGCCTCACTTCACCACCCTGGGTGCATGGAGCCCCTGGCTACCCTTGCTGTCAATTTCCCACTGTTTGGCTGCTCACTTGTCTGAGAGCTGTTCCCCAGGGCTGGGGACTCAGTGTACACAGGTCAGGGTTTTACTGGGCAATTGTTCAGACTTCCTCTGTGGCAGGCGCCAGGTTGGGCATTGTGTGTGCAGAGAAGGCTTGCATCTGCTTTCCCTCTTGGGGAACAGAGTGGGGACACAATGACCACCTTGCAATGGCCCTGCATGGTGTTGGAGCCCCATGAGTGCTGTGCAATTCCCTGAGGTCTGGAGAGCTTTTCTGGTTGGAGGGCAGGGTGGGTTTGTTAACTTGGGGTGCTTTGTCCATTTTAAGGGAGTCTGGAAACCCCAACAGTGTGAGCCATATCTGTTTCAGGCAGTCAGCTGTTTTTTTCTGGGGAAAGGGTCACCACCTCCATCAGCTTCTCCCCAAGACTGGGAACAAGATACATTTAAAATACCACTCAGGCAGGCTGGGAGTGCCAACCTGTGGAGTGAGCTCAGTCTGTTCTGCCACACATTGACGGTGTCCATGTGGGGTTGGGACCCAGGGTCCCCCAGCAGAACCCATGCCCTTCTCAGGGCCCCACATGGTCATTTTCAAGCCTGGCATTGATGATTCCTTTATTCCTACCCAACAAGTCAGAACCAAAGAGCCCAGAAGAAGAAAAGATGCTTCTGGATGCCTGGGCTCAGCCTGCAGGCAGAGTGTCAGCAAGAGCAGCCTACATGAGATGAGCTGGTCTTAGCTTCTTCTCCCCACCCAGGTGAGCAGGTCACAGACACCCAGGGAGCCTGGGCACAGCAGGGTGTAGGTGCGTGTGACCACTAGGCTGCCCACCGGTCTCCAAGGACTCTAGTGAGCCCCACAAACAGTCCTGGCAGCAATGGCTCAGGGCTAGTGGCCAGCAGTGCCCCGCTGTGAGGACTGGATATGAGAGACGGGTTTCTCTAATCCGGTCTGCGTGACTTCTAGGCTGTGGCCTATTATTGCAGGAGGGATAGTCATTCATATCCTAGAATAATCATGTTTGTCATCTATTGAGCACCTATGGTATGCCCAGGCCTACACTAAGCACTGTGCAATAGACACTGGCCTCATTTTCCAGAGGAAGAAGCCAAGGCTCAGTGCAGCCTTTGTAGAAAGTTGCAGGCTTTGAGGAGCATTGGGCAGAGCCCTGCACCTCTGTTTCTTGCGTTCATGTAGGGATGCTTTCCCCTCTTGGCCAGCGAGCTTTAGCTGATAAGTGCAGGAATGCGGATCCAAGCTCTGAGCTCTAGGGCCGAGGCTGGACAGGTCTTTCTCCCCTCTGCTTCTGGGCAGACGACCTCCAGAAAAGCACCCAGGTGCTAAAAGCCTCTCTCTGGAAACCCCAGGTCTGCTCATTTTGACAGTTGTAAGAAACCTCCACTCCAGCTCCCAGGGTAGGACACACAGGGCATCTGTCACCCTGCTGTCAGAGCCCATCTTCCTGCTGTCCCTCCAGCATCAGTACAGCTCATAACCACCTTGAGCCTGAATTTGAGAGATAGACGTGACCGCAGCCTGGTGGCGGGGCTGGCTCGGGCAGCTGCAATGGTGTGTGACGCTGTAGTTCCGCAACCAAGCCTGGATGCAGGGACTCCTGAGGCTTGGGACAGGGAGGACGGGATCTGGGTGACTGGACTCCCAAATGTGATTACTGTGGGCTGGATCGGGGAAGCAGGAGCCTCCCCGGGGCCTGGATGCAGGCAAGCCAGGCATGGCTCCACTTTGGGTCTACTCAGCCCTCTGCTGCCCCCACCCTGAACAATGGAAGTCTCTGGATTCCTAGGTTAAGAAACCCACCACTGCACATTGGTGGCAAGCCACTCCTTTGGGCTGACTTGGCCCATTCTTCCAGAGCACAGCTGTGACCAAGCTCTCTTCCTTCGGTTCTCTCTGCCGGTGGCTTAGGTCAGACCCTAACCTGCAATAAGACTCCATTCCCTGGCCTCTCTGAAAGAGCTGACAATTAGCCAGAGCATACTAGAATGGCAACTTTGAACTTTCTGCCCATTTCTGTTAAACAGTATGAGTGTGGCCTCCCAGGCCAACCCAGCTGCAGTCCTGGGTTCCAATCTCCCACACCTACCTTCCGTAGGTGAGGTTTTGAGGCGCCGGCAGATGGCTTCAGTGTCCCCATAAGTCTCCTTGATCTTGACCACGGCCTCGTGCCCCGCAGCTCCATGAGGGAGCGGAGCTCCTCCATTGTGCACCCGAACTCGCCCCCATGGCTCGACTCATTTCTTTGGTTTTTGGAGTAAAAGTCGCTGTTGGTCATATCACCCATGTTTGCCAAAGTCCCTGCTCAGGGTGGCCCCGAGGGTCAGCACTGGACAAGCGGCTTCTGGGTGATGGCTGCGTGTGGCTGTCCTCAGCACACCCTCACTGGACAGCTGCAGCTCCAGGCGGCCAACTCCAGGTCCCAGGGGGTGGGGGTGGCTGAGGTGGGCTGGCAACAGCGGTGGTGAGCTCCCAGGGGTGTCCCCGGGTGTGGGGTGAGGTCCAGGGGCCAAAGAGGCTCAGGGCTACAGATCCAGGAGTCTCCATTCAGTGGGGCCCATGCTGCTCCCTGGAGCTACATGGTCAGGTGGCTCCTGTGGGGACAAGTACAGAGTCAGTGGGGAGGGTCAGGCACTGGAGGCCTCACAGGACAGGTGCTCATGGGGATCTGGGGTGCAAGTATACACGTCACCCCAAGTAACACTGACTATGTACACGCATCATGCTTAACACCCCCTCACACACCTGCACACTGTAAATTCAAATGGTTCCCAGCGCCCACCCAGGACCTCACAATACACCACCTTTAAGGCATAGCATGGTACAGCCTCATGACACACCATAAACCCCTAACAGTCCACCGTGCCATGTAACAGACCGTGTTAACACACCCCCAACACACACCCTGCTGTGCATATGCCTGCGACAACACACAGCTCAGCTGCTGTACAACATAACCTGTATGCTGTTAGGCCCTACCCAACTCCGCACACACCTACATGTGGGCCCCACTGCACGCTAGTTTGATGGACAACCCATGCACACTGTCACATACAGTGTGACATACAACTTAATAGCCTCACTCCTTCCCTCAAAGACACCTGTATGCCTAGGTTCCTCTGTGCCCATCAGATTCTGTTCCCTTTCTCCTGCAGTCCTCAACTTGTTTACACACGCCTTGTGTCCAACAAAACCTGGGACATTGTCCTCCTCCCCCTAAGTACATAGCCACCAGGCCCCAAGAATAGATGACTCCCCAGGATGCCACCACTACCCACAGTACACTCTTCTTCCCTCCTTTCTCTCTACTCAGGTCCCAAGGGCACAAGATGGGATGAGAAAAAGCCCTGGCCTACACTCACTGCCACCAAGTATGATAACCAAGATCCTGAGCCCGGCCAGAGGAGCCAGCCATTCATAGTCACGAGGACATTACTGACCCACAGTTTGGTCCCCAGCATGAGCTCAAGTGCATGGAGCCCTCACCTGGAGCGCCCACAGACCAGCACCCAGGACAGGGGCTGCAGACCCCTGGAGCCAGGAGGAGGAAGCCGCCTCTTTCTGCCCACAAGGCCACTGCAGGAGTGCAGCGTCTGTGGGCTGCCAGGAGAGAATCCAATCCACCCAGACACCCAACACCAGGGCCCAGGCCGGCAAGCGTTGGGTGACAAAGGGCCCCTGCTGAGCTCAGCTGAGCCTGGCACCAGGACTAGCCCTGCCCAGCAGATATGGACAGCTGTCCATCAGGGCCAGGGGCAGTAAGAAGGAAGGGGATGAGGGGAGGAAAGTCAGCCTGAGCCTGGCCTCAAGCTAGCTCTACTTGTGCAGTCTCCCTTCTTCACCGTCCCCTTCCTCTTCCACATATTTTACAGCTGAAGCATTATGGTTAATTTCATGACCTTGAAGCTGAAGCTCAGAGAGGGAAAGGAGCTTGTCCACATGCACACAGCCAGAAAGTGGAGGAGTCCAGAGGTACTCTCCTTTTCCCTTTCTGGGAGGTGCTCCCTCCTTTCTCTCTGAAGTGCTGAGCTGGTGGTAGACTGTGCCAGGCAGTGGTTAAGAACACAGGATCTGGAATCAGAGTAATCCAGATTCAGATCTGAGCTCTCCTGCATCCTGCCTGGGGAATCCTGGGCAAGTCCTTTTGAGCTTCGTTCCTTCATCCATAAAGCGGGGACAATAATAGTCACCCTCCTCTGCCTCCTGGCTACTTTTGTAGGTGCTGGGAATAGCGAGCCTCGGCACTTAGGCAACAAGGGTGGGCCAGGTGAAGGCAAAGGCAGGTGAACACTTATGACACCCAGGGCTGCCCTAAACTTACTGGTATAGAAGAAGGATCACTCTGTGGTCCTGAGCTGTGTCACCTAGCTTCCCTGAGTACTAGTTTAAATGTCCATAATTTGGGAATACTAACACAGAATCTATTACTGGCACATGGCAAGCATTTATTGAGGACTCACCACATGGCAGACGTTGTCATTTGGCTCAGGATAGCTAAATCTCAGAGATGGTGTGCAGACTAAAGAGCTCTGGAAGCCACAATTTATGGGTTCAGATTCTGGCTTCTTCCCCTCCCAGCAGAATGAGAAGAAAATTAACTTTGGTTTCATTATCTTAAGCAAAAGGGGATGGGAAAGTAACAGAATCTACTCTGCAGGTGCTATGTGGGCTGAACGAGGTACCTCATGTAAAATGTTTAGAACCAAGGACGGCAAGTGGTAAGCATTCAGTAATTGTTGCGATCATTATTATCAATCAAAACCACGTTAGGAGAGAAGTAGTTTTGTTATCTCTACAGAGCATATGCAGAAGCAGAGGCCAAGAAAGGTGGAGTAAATTACCCAAGCTCACACGAATTGGCTGTGGTGGAACTGGGATTTGAACCCAGGAAGTCTGGGTCTAGAGACACACTCCAAGTCAGGATGCTTTGGGGATTCTCCTGATGAATCTTCCTCAATGGGTTCTTAGGAGGCTTAAATGAAGTACCATATGTGAACTAGACTGCTTTGCAAACCACAAGGGACTTTTTAAACTTGAGGTGCTACTTTCTATCTGTTCCCCTGCTACCTGCAGCATGGCTTACAGGCACTGATAATTATATCTCTGACAGCATGAGCTATGCAGATCGTTAGCAGCAATTATATCTGCGATCACAATAGTAAGCACGAGCTAATAGGCTACTGTCGATATTAATGACTATTCTGTTAAGATGAACCGTGATTTCCAACCCTGTCCATCCACCCATCCAGTCACCCATCCATCCACCCATCCACACCCCCATTCATTCATCTAACTGTCCATCTAGCCATCCGTCCACCCACCCACCCATCCATTTAATGATCATTTTGTGAGAACCTACTGGTGTCAGGCACTAAAGAATCAAGACATGGTCTCTGTCCTCTAGAAGCTGGAAGTGAGGCGGAGGGACAATGAAATTAGTGATTTCCATGACCTGATGGGTTTGCCGCTACGAGAAGTCCCGGGTGCTGTGGACACCCAGAGTAGGAAGACCTGATTCAGCCCAGGATAACGGGAGAGGCCTTCCCTCTCATCTCTGAGCAGGGAATATTTTTTCCTGCAGATTAAGTGGGATTTAAGTAAGAAAAAAAAAAAGGACCAGAAAGAAACTAAATATACACTGTCTGCCGGTATATGTTGGGATAGGCATGGTAAAAGGTGCAGGAAGAGACTGATGTGAGCAAGTATGGAGGGATTAAACTCTGGAATAAGAGAATCAGTGGAAAGTCAGAGCTCTGCTGGTAGGTGAATCATACTTTTTTCCCTGTCTCTTTTGATGTTCCATCCCTGCATCTCACAGGTGCATACGCTCGCTCACCCCTGGTTCTGGGTGTCTTGGTTTTTTCCTTATAAATTGCACTGCTCGCTTTGGTACTTGCTCTTCCTGGGAGAGTTGCTCAATTCAGAACTGTGAGGTCCATGGGCACAGAAGCACTTGATGATATAAAACAAATAATCTTCTGACAGACTGATGGATCTGAAGACCTGGTAGTTAGCACAGAGTCTATCAGCTGCCTCAACCCTGCAGACCTGCCACACATCTGTATGGAGCACTCTCTACCTCCTGAGTCTTCAACTCCCTAACAGCTGCTGTCCTCTTCATCTCAGTGTCTCTTCCTCACAAGCCTCCCTGACCACCCAGCCCACATACGTGCTCCTGGCTCCTAGACTCCTCCCAGATTGTAACACATTTCATCTTTTATTGCTCAGGCCTGCTTAACACTCATCTGAGAGCACCATAGGGACAGTAGTCATGTCTACTTTGTACCCAGGGCTGTACCAGGTACCCGGAAGGTGCATGTTTAGTGAGTGGATGAATATCTACCTATAAGAGGTGTAACTGTAGTTGGGTACTCAGACCTCAGCTTCTTTATCTGTAGGATGGGTGAATGCTTCCTATCCTGCCTCCTTCATGTGTTTGCTGGGAGTCAAGAGAGACCCCCAGAATTGGTGAGACATACCCTTGCCTTCCCCTCCCTGGCTTCTCTGTAACCTCGCAGGGGTGTGAAGCTGAAGCTGTCTCCTCAGCCACAACTCCACCAGATTCTTGTGTTCTTGTTGCAACTCCATGGCTGAGGGATTAGAGAGCTGTGTGACCTTGAGAAGTCACCTAAGACTGCTGAGCGAGCCTCATCTGCAAAGTGGAGATAAGAGCATCCAGGTACTACAATGCTGGCTTTCTTGAGTGTTCCCACCCCTGTTATTAGCAGGTGTGCCTCCCCCAGGGCTTCCTCATGAGGCTCAGTTGCAGCCAGCTTTCAAAACCACACAGGTGGCCACCCTTGTTCTAAGCCAGGGGCAATGCAGGCCTGGACAGGGTGTCCAGCCAGTCCTGATTCAGAAAGGTTGAGCAACACACAGGGGGTCATTCAGCTAATAAGGCCACAGCCCAGAGAGATGCTCCTCCCTGCTTTCCTGGCCCCTGTTGTGTGACATTGATCAAGCCCTCTCTCTCTCTGGGACTCAGTTTCCCACGTGTCAAGTGAAGAGATTGGATTAGTGCTCTCTGAGGTCCCTTCAGGCTCTGAAGCTCCAAGCCCTTCAGAATCCAGGAGAACATTCTGACACTATTAGGTTTATGTACTTCATTTTCATCGTATTAGCATTTAAATGACTGTATTGTTACATTTCAATGACTCAAGAATAGGTTAGGGGCACCTTAATAAAAAGTCTTTGCTAGGAGAGATGCTGGCAGAGGAAGGAAAAAAATATATATGTTTAGTTAATTTAACAGAGAAGGACTCCTATCTTTTTTTTTTTTTTTAAGAACAAAACAACAACCTCCTCCCAAACCAACAGCTTTTCAAATCCTAAGCGAACCATGGTAGTTGGGACAGTTGCAAATGAATGTGGTAAAAATAACTTTTGGATGCCCAATCCTTCTGTGTTAAGATGTGCTGAATTTAAATGCCACCAATGTATTTTTAAAGTCTCCATTTCCTTTGAATCATCCCTGACAGCAATGATGATGTGGGGACGCAAGTCTGGTATGGAGGTCCCTGGTGACCTAGGTCCAGCTATGCCATTTACTGCTGGTGTGACTTGGGCAAGTCTCTTAATCTCTCTGTGGCTCAGT